TGTACACATCACATGACTCATTTACAACAATATATCTCTAAATGCTTCAAAACATAATGTGTGGCCATGGACAAGTCTCATGCTCACCAAAAAGGTCAATGTAAACAATAGGCATAAATATACACCAACATAGATTTAGAATCTAGTCATGAACACCACAAAAACATGGAAATCTCAACATGCAACATGTTCATGTTCTAAGTCCAAAATGCTAAATGTAATGCTATGTGCATCAAATATACTCCTCCAAAATGACATGCTCTCCATATGCACATCATGCTCAACTCCTCCATTATGCGGGCCTCTTGCCCGAAGGTCTTCCATGCTCACCATAACCTGAAATGATGTCCCCAAATGCAGGGTGAGATATACAAATATATCTCAGTAAACCAAGGGTACAAGAGGATCACTCCATCCCATGACTCACTCAATGTGCATACAAGGTGCACTCTACATGAAAGTCACTCACAAGATGATGAGGAACAACTTTGTAGTTGAGAGTTTCTCTCAAAAGTGTCTAGAAAAAAAGTTAAAAATTCAAAAGCTCACTTACCCTTACAATGGAGGAGATCTCGGCGGGAGAAGAAGAAGAAGGAGAGAAAAAAGTGAGGAAAAATTGATTTTTCATGTCACTTTGTCCATTTGTCACTTAAGTGGGTCCCACACGTCAATTTACTTTCTTAAATAACCCAATTTAACCCACAAATTCATAACCTACGTATTTTTCTCGTTCACCTCATATTTTTACTTCCTAGAAACACTGATCATATTTTTGTGCTTATAGGTACAATTATACCGTAGTATTTTACACCGGTAAAATCATTATTCATCAAATTTTCTGAAACTTGCCTGTCCACTCGATTTTTCGTTCTGAATCCATTTTCGACATTATTTTTTCCATTTGAGACCTTCTACTCAATTTTTCTTGCCTAGGGTTACGTGTTTGGTAAATTACCATTTTGCCCTTTTTACGCATTTTGGCCATAATTTCAAAATTTTCACTAATCCTACCCTTTGATCATCATTATCTCATATAATTATACATTTACAAATACGAGGTGTTGTATCAACAATGTCATTGCCTACAAATTATGCACCTCCAATCGAAAGAGAAAATGCATTCGTATTTGTCGCTGATATCGCATAAATCTATACTTGTCAAAATCGACCTGTGCTAGGGTTTTAAGAGAGTTTGAAGTTATAGCGCTTCCCAAATAGTACCAATCAAACAGAGAACGTTGTGACACATGAAGACGAATCAAATTCATTTATAAAGAAATTACCACACTGGGTTTGTGGTATTTGGCCCTTAAACTCTAAACACCACCTCCCACACATTCCTTCCAGATAAATATTTTTAGGGCTCGTTAAGTCACCAAGAACTATAGTTCAGCCCGAATATACTTGCCGTCACCGAAAAGTTTACTCATCCTAACTTCTCTGACGACTATTCCTTTAACGTCTGTTGTTGTATAAATTACTCTGGTGGTTCCTTTGTCGTCTCCGGTGGAGCCGACATCTCAACAACCACCATATGCAGTTGCACCAGTGCCTCCAACCGCCACTGTTCCACCACCTTCAACACATTCATTGCTAGAAGGAATGCCTCTACCACCTCTGGCGACTATTCCTCCACATTACTAGTACTAGAAAATGCTGAAATTGCGACGAGATTAACGTGGTCGCAATTTGCAACAGGGAACCAATTGCGAACAAAATTTTGTCCAAATTTTCGACGCAAAAAATTGTTCGAAAATACCATTGCAGATCCGTCTCACGACTGTCACAAATTGCAATGGAATGATTTGCAGATGAAAATTAAGAGACATTGTGACAGAAATTTACGACGAAATATTTTTCGACGGCCTTGCGACCGTCTCATACATTGCGAGTGAACCTTGTGACGGTGATGAGACTGTTTTTGCCATAAATTGTGATGGATTTTGCGATAGAAATCCGGATATGATTTGATAGGGATTTTGAAATGGAAAGTCATTATTTTTTGCAATGAAATATAATTCCATAACAAATTTTGAAATAAAATTAGGGGTATTTTATAATACCTCAATTAATCAATTATGAAATTAAAGAGATACGGTGTCGAATCTGGACCTTTGGGATGCTATAATTGCCCAAAGCTAACAAGCCATAGGTAAGACCAGTAATGGTAAACATTCTTTGTAATTTTTAAATAAATAGTATGAGGCACATATATATTGTGCTCAACAAATAACTTGGAGACATCAAGCTTTCATGATTGGGAGTTCTAGATATTGATGAATGAGAAAGTGTATATAGTATCAATCTCCGTAGAATGAAGCAGAAACAGATGAAATTTTCCTTAGCATCATCATTTTAATTACATGTATGTTCTGTAAATGAGAGATAGACAACTGACAATATGGTTGGTAATGGTACTTCATTTATAGGGGTATACATATAGATTATGTTTAAAAGGGCAAAAGGCATAGAATTTAGGAAGTTGGAGCTATAAGCAGGGGAAGACTACATGCAGGAGATGAAGTAGCTAGGAGAAGAAGTCAACCCACCATCATAAGGTAAAAATTATGCATGCATCATTATTGGGACACAACAATAGATTTGTGCTCAACAAATAACTTGGAGACATCAAGCTTTCATGATATGGAGTTCCAAATTTTGATGAACGACCAAGCGTCATGCCAAAATCAAGTCCATCTATGTAACTTGGTAGCTAGAGCTTGATAGCATTCTTCATAATGTCATCATTAAGATAGAAAGGCACAATCGTACTTGCTGATGGGCACAAGCTGACCTAACATAATATATTCAGTGACATCTATTAAGTTAACAGTCTCAACATATACTTCAGTATCAAGGAGAATATCAATAGTCTCTTCAAATGAGCATCTCATCATTAATTGGTCCAATATCATTCTAGCATGGTACCATGACATGTAATTGCCATCAAATTGTAAAGAAAGAATGGCAACACAACACCACAAAAGGGGGTGAATTATGGTTAACTTTTAATCCAAGAAACAAAGAAATTCAAACCCCTTTTTCAAGGAAAGAAACCAAAATGTGATAATATAACAAACAAACAATCCCTTCTCCAAAAACAAATTAAAACCAATCTAAATAACACTATAAATCAGAGAATAATAGCGAAAATTAAAAGGATAGGAAAAAGAAAGATCAAGAGCCAAGATTTATCTTGGTTCACTCTCAAACCACTAGAGAGCTACATCCAGACCGAGGTCATCGATCCATTATGCTCAGAAATTTCAACCGGTGCCTGAGAAATCGATGTGCAATTGAAATTTTACAAGATCTTTGATCAAACTCTACCTATAACCCTATAGGATCACTCCAACTATGGCAAACAAAATTATAACATTCCAATCACTCAAAACAGATGTAGAGCAACCTCTCTATGTTCACAATTACAAAAAAAATCAGAGAAAAAGATGAAAAATAGAAGTGTATTGAGCTTTTCCCTCAAAGTATGCAAAATAAGCCTAAATGAGTATAATTCTTGGGTTCTACGTGTTTCAATATTTTTGTCTATGCAATTATCATTAGAAACCCTAATTATATGTTTATATAGGTGTCTGTTAAGTTACTAGTCATTTATAGCCGTTGGATATCAAATTTGATCATTAACTTTCTTGATTTGATGACAAAATAAAAAGTTGCAAATTCAAGCTCACCTATCATGGAAGTTTCGGCCAAGCATGTAAAGGAATGAATAAGACAAGCCAAAATAATACAATTTCAAGACAAAATAAACTTAGCCACCAAATGTGACTTTTTGCAAAAGTTATAAAATCTATAAAATTCAATTTACATAATCATCCTTAAGACAATAATCTCATTTGAGTTTCCTGGTAAAATTATACTACGATATTTCATCCGGTAAAAATCACTAATCATCAATTTTTTCAAAAATTACCTATACACTCCAAATTTCGTTCTGAATCCAAATCCCACATTATTTTCACCAAATAATGTCTGATTACATCATTTCATAATTTTATGGTTAGAATAACTATCAAATTACCATTTTGCCATTCGAACGAATTTTTACCTCAAATTTAGGTTTTTTACTAATTAAATCCTCTAATCCACAATTTAATCATTAATAATGCATTTTCAAATATGTGAGGTGTTATAATGTGCAGCTGCTAGGTCACTTCAAACCAATCAATGAGGATCTAAGTTTCAGATTTCTTGTGATATTTTTATTTACTTTGTTCGTGAAGTTAGGAAAGAAGGGATATTTTGATCTGTTGCATACCCCAATAGCAGGTATGAGATGATGGGAGTATCAGTGCTGAAAGGGATTTGGGGAATGGAGGTACATTTCAAGTAGAAGGTAAGAAAAACAAGCCTTCTTTTGTCAGCTTCGTAGATAGGAAGGATATATGCACATATGTTGGGAAAGATACAATTAATTTTGGAAAATCCTGTCCCTGTCGTGCTTAAGTGATAAAATAGGGATAAAATGGACAAGTTAGTTAAATTACTACCGGTGTTAACTTAATTGAAAAAAAATCAGATGGGATAAATGATAAGAAAAATAGCACAGGGGTATAAGTAATAAAAGAGTAAATTATAGGGGAATTTATGAACTTTTCCCTTTATTTTTATATCACTTTTATACAACTCTCATTTCTTTGTTTCCACTTTCTTTCTTCTCTTTTTCTTCCCTTTAATTTTCTTTCCTCATCCAAACGAAGGATAAATAGAAATTTTAATAATAGAAGAAATAGGCAAAGGGTAAATTTACATGCTAAGTGAACAAGTAAAAATTGTTCTCATTCCTTGCGTGTGTTTCCACAAACCAAAGGTATCCAGCTAACAATAAAAGAGAAAAATATAGAGAACCACAATTTATTGAAACCATTCCAAGAATATGTAATTCTAATGGAGTAGTTGAGATAAGATGACTGCTTTTGCAAAAGCAGTGTAAATGGCCGACACATGAATGCAAAGAATTATTAATAGCCATTTTATTTTTAGATTTCGTAGTCTTTTGACCATTTTCTGGCATGCCTTTGACAAAAATATTTTATCCGTTTCATACCCTCTTCAAGAGCAGATTGGTCAGCAGCAAAAATAATACGAAGCCAATCTTTTAGCCCCACTGCAGTTCCTGCAGATTAAAGAATTTTTGTTTTGTTTCTTAAAAAAATTCAACAAATTTGTGAGTCATGCTAAAACCAAAGCCAGCAGTCAATAGCAGACTAAATCATTTATCAATTGAATTTATTTTAATCTACTATATGATTTAATTATTTTAAATTTGCAGCTTATTTTCGTTTAAACAAATCATTGAAATTGTTATCTAAGGTGTTCCAATAAATGTAACATACAATTTCGTGATAAAAATGAAACTGATTATGAAATTGGTTATACTCAAAATGAGTCCAACAAGTGCAAAGGATAAAGTCTAGTGCACAAAACTTCCCCACTTTTGGGCATAGAAGTGAGGGTAAAATTTACCCTTATATTTTTCTTAAGTTAAACTTATAACCTTTCAGTCACAAGAATAATCTCACCGCTGCTACAATGCTCACCCTTTATAAGCAACGAAGACTAACAAAAAAAATATTTTCCTTGTACAAATGAAATTGGTCTTAAAAAAATTGCACAAAATATCAAACTAAAGCATGATTTGGGCAATTGTACCTGGAATAATGATAACAGATTCCTCCTTAGCAAGCTTGAAACAAAAATCAATATCATCGCTAATATCTTCCAGAAGTGAAAGGTTTAGTTTTACCTGCATTTCATGCAAGAAGATTTTAAAAAAATAAAATAATATATCTTTATAAATGACATCTATTCTGTTCTCAAAGAATGTCAAATTGTGGTGTATCCTCACCATCATAGCCATGGACCCTTCTGGTTTGTAAGGGCAAACAATGCATGGAATATCCTTTATCCCCTTAAAACATATATTTGAGGCATGCCTCAAATTCTCATTGATTTTCTTGTAAAAAACCTCATCAGTTTGCAAAATTATGTGAGGCACAGCTGCCTGTAAGACCAGAAATGATTAATCAGATAGAAGAAATAAAGAAAAGATGAATTCATGACATGAAAGAAAATTTTGACAGCAAGAGTATTGGATGAAGTTCTATCATATATCTGCATAAAAAAAATTTGGATTTGACATTGAACTAGCAGTAGCATATGAAAAATATTTCAAAATGAATACTGTATCAAGCTTTAAGTAAAATTAAGTTGCTTCCATTTCTTTGCTTGAAAAAAAATAAAAAGCTTGCAAAGAGAAAATTTTAAAAACCTGGATGAAGGTGGCTGGACCTCCCAATAGATTAAAATACTTTTCAATGCGTTCAACTACCTGCATAAGCAACATATGTTTTTTAACATCACATAAGAAGGTGATTGAATATAATGAAGAACCATTTAGAATTTAGAAATGTTTATATATTAAAAGTACTAACAGTTGAATCCAGTCAATTAGGGAACATCAATATAGAATATATAGTACAAAAGAATGAAGCAAAGAAAGAAGAAATAAAGATACATAGACACAAATAAAGCAATATATACATAGCTATATTGGGAACCACCTGCAAAGATACTGAAGAAAGGTTGATTCCCATTTTTAGCATAAAAGTTCATAAATAACAGAGCATTTATATGATCACTCAAGGTTCTTAATTCTCAGATTGACTAATCTAATTGCAGTGTGATTACTCAAGTACCATGTGATCAATGATGTAAGAGTAAAGTTATAAAAATATAAAAATATTATTCAAGGAAGTACCTTGGGTTTTCTAAAAGTGCCACATGGATCATTTGTCACAAACCAACCAAGCCTCCATCCAGGAACTATCCATCTCTTAGACAGGGCCCCGAGAGTGAGAACAGGAACAATAGAGCCAAAAACTCCCGTTGGCACAAAAGGATTGGCCCCAAATGTAAGGTGACCATAAACTTCATCAGCAATCACAATTGTTCCAAGCCTTTTTGCTGTTTTTGCTATCTAAGTCCAACATACAAAAAAATTTGTAACCCCTGTTAAAGCTGTCAAATTTTAGAAACATATTCTATCGGCTATTGATCATTTTACCACTCTTTTGAAATTTTGAGTAAATATCTTTTTTGGTCCTCAGCAAATCTTACGATCCCGCATTAATCCCTAACAAATAAAAAGGCTATTCGTGATCCCTAAGAAATTCAAAATGGACCCATTTAGTTGAAATCGTGTTCCCTCACAAATTCAAAATAGATCTATATTAGTCCCCCAAACGGACTAAAATGGGTCCACTTTGAATTTTTTCGGATCATGAATAGCCATTTTATTTTCTAGGGACTAAAGCAAGCATCATAAAATTTGTTGAAGACCGAGAATGATATTTACTCTAAATTTTTTTTATCATTTTTCCCCTTTCCAAATCACATACCGATCTATCCCATTTTTAAAAAATTTAACAATTTATCTCTATTTGATCAAAATTTGACTGATATTTAATCAAGTAAATAACTTATTAAAAACAATGATTTGATTAAACTTTAGTCAAATCAGGACAGTTTGATATATAATTTAAAAAAAGGGACAAGTTCTTATATAATTTTAAGTAAATATTATTTTTGGTTCTCAACAAATTTCACGATACCTGCTTTAGTTACTAATAAATAAAAAGGCTATTTGTGGTCCTAAGAAATTCAAAATGAACCCATTTAGTTGAAATCGTGGTTCCTCACAAATTCAAAATAGACCCACATTAATCCCTCAAAAGGACTAAAATGGGTCCACTTTGAATTTCTTAAGGACCACGCATATCCTTTTTATTTGCTAGGGATTAAAGCGGGCATCGTAAGATTTGTTGAGGACCAAAAATAATATTTACTCTATAATTTAAAACCGAGAACAAAGTAGTAAATATTTTAAAATATGGACAAAATGATAAATCGGCCTATTCTATCTCTAAGGGGCCGTTTGGTTCAGGGAAATTTTTTGGAATAGTAGGGAAATAAGATAGATAGAGAAATGATTGGAAAGATAGATAAAGTGAGATAGGTAGAAAAATGTAAAAAAAAGTTGTTTGGTGAGAAAAAACTTTACTGGGAAAATTAGGTAACTTTATGAAATCAACAGTGCATTAAAAGCCAGATAACCGGTTTTTCGAAAAATCCCACCTTCAAATTGGGTTTCTAAACTGTGCGGATATCTATGTTTCTCATAAATCCAGACAAATTGGATAGATGGATTTTTGGTGAAAAACGTTGAAACAAACATGGTGTTTCTAAAAGTCATACTTGAGAAAGATAGATATCCGTTGAAAAGCTTCCAACCAAACACCACCTAAAGTTATTTGGTATGGGGCCATGTATCTTATGCAACTAACCTTCTCCAAATGATGGTAACTGTATACATTTCCACAAGGATTGCCAGGGTTAATAATGACCAATGCAACTGTGTTCTGATTAGCAAGAGCTTCAACAGCATCTAGATCAACCTCCCAACCTTTCTCTGGTAGCAAATCATAATGCCTCACTTCAACTTCTCTAAATGCAGCAGAAAGTTCATAGATTGGGAAGCCAGGTCTTGGAAGCAAGATGTTTGCACCGGGGCGAGCAAGCATTGCCACTGAAACATCAATGGCTTGTGTGCCTCCACATGTGATAAAAACATCATCCGATGATAACTGATAAGGGAGGTCTCGAGACAGATATTCAGCGATTGCACTGTCACCAACATGAAAGTAACTTAAGTGACATTAGATACAAGAAAAGAGGGACAATAACCATGAACAAAATCTAAAACAAGTACTTATGATGTTTCTTTTTGGTCAAGAAACAAGTATATGCTAGTTCGATACTTCCATGTTTCTTTTTGGTCAAATAACTTTTTGCTAGATAATTTTATAGAAAATAAGTTTTTCATTTTGCGTGGAACAATTTTGTCATGTACACATATAAAGTGAATAGAATTTTTTTTTTTTCTTCTCTCTTTTTCTTAGTGCTTCTCATTCATTTTTTTGTGTATTGTATAAAATATTTTTATCTCATCTAACATGAGATATATAATCTCCTAATTTTATCTCAAAATCTATTGTTGGATTAAAAATTTATATTATTTACATCATATTTATAAAATACGGCATCAATTCAATTCTTTTAGTACATCATTAATGTGCTTCAAGATTAATTAATAAAACATATTCTCCAAAAAAAAAGATTAATTAAAACATACTTTTGAAAAATATGAAAGTAAAAATTATTTGATTAAATTTTTACGAGATTTGACCTAGACAATCAAGGTGACGGAGAATTATAATTCATAGTTGGAATGATAAAAAACAAATCACATTTTATATATTTATTGAATAGTTGTAAACGAAATTTTAATTTAATCTGAAGTTCTACTTTTAAGTGATCGCAATACTCTTAATAATGGGACATCTAGAAAAATTTGCGTGACAATGATGGAACTCTAAACTAATTGATCATAAAAGTTGTAATACGATATCATAAATCAATTATTCATAAATTCAAGCTATTAGATTTATCGTGTTATAAATCAATTATTTCAAAAATTTAAGTTACTGGATGAATACATATATGTATTTTAATATCATATTTTTAACAATTTTTAACAATATAAGTTCTGTTGGACTTCCTCCTTCAATGTTATGCCCAAGCCTATCGAGGGATTTCTCAAGAATCCTAAACCTTAAATCCTAGATCTCACCTCCTCTATATATATTCATTAGTTGTGGGTGGAGGCGAGGTTAGAGAATAGATTTGAGAGAAAATTATTTGAGAGATTTGTGAGCAAAGCTTTAAGCTTTGTATTTGAGAAATCTCTAGAGAGAGTTTGAGCGAAACATCTCTAGGGTAGTTTGATTATCACCATTGTTGGAGAGGTTGTGTTAACCACCACATTGGTGTATTTTGATTCTCTGTATCCATTATTTTCATAGTGGACGTTTGATCTGGACTAGGTCCCGTGGATTTCTACTTCTTCAATGGAGAAGGTTTTCCCACGTTAAAACTGTTTGTGTTCTCCTTCTCACTCTCCTGTTTGCGTTTTTGATTTTCCGCTACGCTGCCAGACTTGGTGAAGTTCAGGCCAAGGTAATTGCCGAGATCCGAGATCCAGGATCTTGTTGATTGACTTCCGCGAAAAGGCTGCTTAGCCGAGCTTGAGGGAACCGAGTTCCCAACAGTTGTATCAGAGCCCAAGTTCGACGGGTTCTAAGGGAGACGAGATGGAGACCAGTGGTATAACCCATAATGGAGATATGTTCAAGCTGACCGCAGACAATTTCACCTATTGGAGACCGATGATGGAAGATCATCTCTACTGCAAAGATTTACATGATCCCATTATCCTTGATGAGAGACCGGCAGGCAAGACCGATAAGGAGTGGGAGAATCAGAGTCGTAAGGCGGTAGCTACAATCGGAAAATACATAGACAAAAGCCTCTTTGAGCACGTGTCCAAGTTCACGAACGCGTATGAGTTGTGGACGAAGCTGGAGTCCATGATTCAGAAGAAGACTCCCAGGAACAAAGCACACCTGGTTCGCCGACTTGTGAAGTTAGAATACAAGGATGATGACATGAGCATGATTGAACACCTCAACACCTACAAAGATATTGTGAATCAGTTGTCAAAAGCTGAGATGAAAATTGATGATGAGATGCAGGCTTTGCTGCTATTGAGCTCGCTGCCAGAAAGCTGGGATACTCTGGTGGTGACTTTGAGTAATTCGACTCCAGATGAAAAATTGAAGATGGATGTCGTAACATATAGTCTCCTGAATGAAGAAGCCAGGAGAAGAGAACGAGGAGTTTCGAGCACGTCTGAGGCCAATGTTGCTGAGAACAGAGGGAAATCCGACTCCCGGTGTAGAAGCAAGAGCCGGGGTCGAGATCGTGATAGAAGAGGAAAGTCCAGACGCCGATCAAAGCCAAAATATGAGTTGAAGTGCTTCTACTGTGGAAAGACAGGTCATAAGAAGCCAGACTGTTGGACCCTGCAGAATGACGAGAAGAACGGCTCTGTGAAGCCGGATCAGATTATTCCCAAGAAGAGAGAAGACAAGAGCACAACTACGGTGGCTGCCAACCCGGATGCTGAGATATTCCTACTTGGTGAGGATAATTATTTGAATGTTGCATATGATGATTGCACCTGGATTGTTGACTCTGGTGCCTCCTTCCACGTTACTCCACACAAAGATTTTTTCTCCTCTTACCGAGGTGGTGATTTTGGAGTCGTGAAGATGGGAAATCAAGTGACCAGCAAGATTGTTAGTGTCAGTGATGTAACCCTAACCACAGATGTCGGATGCCGACTTGTGTTAAAATATGTAAGGCATGTTCCTGACATGCGATTGAATATAATCTCAGTAGGCAAGCTTGACGATGCCGGGTTAGTGAACTACTTTGGTAGTGTTAGATGGAAGCTGGCCAAGGGAAACTTGGTTGTTGCCTGAGGTAAGAAGAAAGGCTCCTTGTACGTGATGCAAGGAAAGATCAATGGCGGAGAAGCCAATTCTATCCGAGATGGACCTAGCTTGGAGCTATGGCACAAACGCCTCGGCCACATGAGCGAGAAAGGGCTCCAGCAGATCCTGAACAATAAAGGATTACTGACTGGGTTGAAAGGCCAATCGTTGGAGAGTTGCACGCACTGTCTAGCTGGAAAGCAGCACCGAGTTTCATTTGTGAGACCAGATCAACCCAGAAGACGCAAGTATATTCTTGACCTCGTCCATACTGATATTTGTTCCGTGTCGAAGAGATCTCTTGGAGGAGCTCAGTATTTTGTTTCATTCATTGATGATCATTCCCGCAAAGTGTAGGTATATTTGTTGAAGTTTAAAGACCAGGTACTCCAATCCTTTAAAGAATTCCATGCAATGGTTGAAAGGGAGACTGGCAAGAAATTGAAGGTGGTCTGATCTGACAATGGTGGTGAGTATTGCAGCCCATTTGATGCATATTGCAGAGCGACCGGGATTCGATTTGAGAAGACGCCCCCCGAGACTCCACAGTTGAATGGACTTGCTGAGAGGATGAACAGTGTAAGAACCCGCACCGTTAATTAAGGAATTTAATTAATAAATTATGAGAAAATAGGAAATGATTCCATAATTGACCCTAATAATTATTATGCGGCTTTAATAATTATAGTAAGTGGGTAATAATGCTGAAAGTCGCTTTTCGGAAGAAAAGTGCAGATACCGGTTCTGCTAGTCGGTATAAATGAGTACCAAAAAAGTATCCCAGAAAAATATAATAAGTGCATGATAATTACTAGAATAATATGTAGGACTTGTAAAACGAGTTTCAAGTCCGAATAATGAGAACTGGTGCTAGAAACCGGTACTGGCTTGGAAAAGCGCCTACCGGAAAAGTGCTCAGAAAATTATAAGAAAAATATGATAATTCTTGGAAAAATGTGTAGTTTCAGATTTCAAAGTTTGGGATTAAAATGCTAAGCGTAGTAATTAAAGTTAATACTATGTGTTAATCGGGTAAGTGACTATAAATACCCATTTCTAAGGGCACAATGCCCTAGAAAACAGATTTGAACGTGAGTGTGTGAGGGTGGCTGGTCAGCTTGGCTGTTCCTTGGGGTTTCTTCTCCATTTTGGGTCCAAGACACTTCCTTTCTTGATTTTCTTCACACTTTCACTTGGGAAACACTTGGTGAGGGTGAGAGCTAGCTTTGGGACTCCATTTCTAAGAGCTAGCTGTTGTGTGTGAGGTTTTGAGGCTGACTTGGATTGGTTGTTTGTGGGAGCCTTTGTTTTGACATTGTGAGGTCCAAGAAGCTTTCTTTGTGTTGAAAGGTCCAAGCTTGTTGATCCATTTTCGTGCACCTTGTTGAGTCAGTCTTGAGGGGCTGATTGTGAGCTCCAAAGAGCAACCTCTTCTTCTGTTTTGAGCTGGGGTATGTGTACCAACCTTTGAACTTGAGTTCCATGCTTAAAAAATGAAAGCTTGATGCATCTAAAGGCTGAAAGATGATAACTTGTTGTTGGGTAATGTTGAACACACCTAGAAATGCATGTTTGGTGCTTAAAATCGGTAAAAACCCAGCCTTGATGGATATCTTTACGAAATGCAGTTTCTGCATTCTATCGTGAAATATCCGGATATCTGCCCGATGAATATCCAGATATGTAATATCCGGATATGGGATTTGGATATCCGGATATTTCCAGTGAGATATCCGGATATGTAATATCCGGATATGGTCCCGAGGAATATCCGGATATTCTGGGATTTCGAAGAACAGTAGTTGTGATGTGTGTACAGTAGGCTATTGGGGGTTTGTGGACCCTAGATTGATGACGTGGAACTTCTGTAATTAATGAACTAAGTTAGAATCATTGTGATTAAGGATTTATGGCTTGGTATGGAGCCTTAAGATGTAAAACGTAAGGAAAGGCGTTGTCTTTAATTTATATGCTTGTGTCGCATTATTATTGATATAGTTTTGGTCCATAACAGATTGTGAATCTGCTGTGTTTGGACTTTGAGCTGTGGACTCTTGGCCTTGGGTGTTAGCTTGCAAGGTAAGCTTTCGTGTCCTCGGTTTAGCCATATTGTGGTTCCACCATGTCCCATAGGGGTGTGGTTGTATGCATGCTGTGTTACATGCTTTGAATATTTGAAATGTTGTTGAGCTTTATGTGTAATGGCTTTTAATATGCATGTGTTGTTTCATCTTGACGGTAAGCCTGAGTATGTAGCGTCATACGATATGGTGATCCGGGGTGAATGCAAGTAGCGTCTTGCACTAATGTGGGTATTTGGCGTATGTAAATCCTGCATTTCTCTGGCCAGTAGAATAGAATTGACACACATGACATGATTATCTGCTGCATTGCACTACTTTAGAACTGATGATGATATCTGCTTTTAAACTTATATTGCACATGTAAGTGAGCTTGGGGTGGAAGATCCTTGAGGACCCCTTGTCTTACTGAGATTTCTTGTTTAGATATCTCACCCCACGTTTGGGGAATGCTTATTTCAGGTTCCGGTAGTTTGGTGACTGATGCCTCTAGCGGCAAGAGGCCAGAGCTTAGTTGATGATATTATGCTGTTTGCTGCCATAACTGGTTATGGATGCTGTTTATGTTTTCCGTTATTTATGTTTACGTTGTTGTTGAGACTGATGTTGGGCGTGTTGCCTTATTTGAGTGAGCATGGGGATTGTCCATGACACATTATGTTAGTACCTTAGATTGGAGTTGTATAAACTGTTAGATGGTCCGGTCTACGTTGTTGTAGTTCCGTGACTAGAGCCACACATTTATTATCTATGTTATGAGGTATGTTCAGTTAGCTGTTTTATTGCAATTACATACAGACGTTGTTTTATTAATTGATTAATAAGCAAGTTGGTAATGATAATGACATCATAATTGAAAAGAAAAAGACATTCCGCATTTTTATTAAGCGCTACTTAATACGATAGTATGATAACATTGCCGGATATATACGGGGTGTTACAAACAGGACTATTGAAGAGAAGGTATGAAGTATGTTATCCAATGCCGGATTGCCAAAATCATTATGGTGAGAAGCCGTCAGAACTGTTGTTGACTTGATCAACCTCTCACCATCACGGCCACTTGAAGGAGAAATTCCAGAAGAAGTCTGGACAAGTCAGAAAGTGGCCTATAATCAACTGAAGGTGTTTGGATGCCGAGCTTTCGTGCATATCCCTAAAGATGAAAGGGCTAAACTTGATGCTAAGACTAAAAAATACATTTATCTTGGTTCGCAGAGATGTGAGTTTGGGTTCCGACTTTGGGATCCAATCAATAAGAAGATAGTGAGAAGTCGAGATACAGTCTTTCATGAAGATGAGACCATTCATGACATCTCGAAGCCCAAAGTCCAAGTTACTGTTAGACGTGAAGAACCCATCCCTCCTGTCCGAGCTAAAGTAGGGGGAGAAAATCAAGAGAATGAAGAAAATGATGGATAGTAACAAGCTGATGATGACCAAGATACTGAGGTCCAAGATGATGATGAGATCCGGGATGAGAATGATGAACCGGGTTCTCAAGCTGAAAAACAATCGAGATATCCAATTCGAGAAAGAAGATCCTCTACAAGATACCCATCTGATGAATACATCGTCGTTGTTGAAGACGATGAGCCTCAGAGTTATGATGAGGCCGTGACGAGCTCAGAAAAAGAAGAATGGGAAAAGGCAATGCAAGACGAGATGAAGTCTCTGCACGAGAATCAGACTTATGAGCTGAATGAGTTGCCAGAAGGAAGACGAACTCTGGAAAATAAACGGGTCTACAAGATTAAGAACGAAGAGAACGGGAAGAAGCCGAGATACAAAGCCCGGATTGTAGTGAAAGGCTGCAATCAGAAGAAAGGAGTAGACTTTGAGGAGATCTTTTCTCGTGTGGTAAAAATGACCTCGGTCCGAACCGTGTTAGCCATGGCGGCTTTGATGGACCTCGAGGTAGAACAAATGGACGTGAAGAAGGTATTTCTTCACGGTAATTTAAAAGAGAGATATATATGGAGCAACCTGAGGGGTTTCGAGCTTCAGAAAAAGAAGACTTGGTATGTCGGTTGAAGAAGAGCCTCTATGGCTTGAAGCAAGCACCTCGGCAGTCGTACAAGAAGTTTGAATCATTCATGACTGATCACAAGTTTGAGAAGACAGAAGCCGACCACTGTGTATTTGTGAAGAGGTATGAGGTCGAAGAGTTTTTGATTTTGTTGTTATATGTTGACGACATGCTTATTATAGTATAGGGAAAGACAAATCGAGGATAGCTGCCCTGAAGAAGGCATTGAGCTCGTCCTTCGCAATGAAGGACCTCGGCCCTGCAAAGCAGATTCTCGGAATCAAGATTATCCGAGATAGACAAAAGAAGTTATTGTGACTATGTAAAGAGAAGTATATTGAGAAGATTCTAAAGAGATTCAGCATGGACAAAGCCAAACCAGTGAGCACCCCCTTAGCCGGACACATAAAGCTGAACCAGAAGCAATGTCCGAGTTCTGATGAAGACAAAGACGAGATGCTAAAGATCCCATATCAATCCGTTGTCAGAAGCTTGATGTATACAATGATTTGCACTAGACCCGACTTGGCATATGCTGTTGGAATGGTAAGCCGATATCTATCGAACCCCGGCAAAGAGCACTAGAAAGCAGTGCAGTGGATCTTCAAGTACCTCCGAGGTACGACCAACTTATGTCTCCGATTTGGAGAAGGCACAACCGAGTTACAAGGCTACTCGGATTCTGATTTAGGGGGAGATTCCGACTCGAGGAAGTCGACGACGAGATACATGATGAGATTTGTCGGATTAGCTGTCTCTTGGCAATCAAGAATTCAGAAGTGTGTTGCACTATCAAAAACCGAGGCTGAGTACATTGCCGCGACTGAGGCAAGCAAAGAGATGTTGTGGATGACAAAGTTTCTCATGGAACTCGGCCATGATCAAGACAAGTACGAGCTGGGTTGTGACAATCAAAGCGCAATCCATCTTGCGAAGAATTCGACCTGTCACTCCCGCACTAAGCATATTGATCTGAGGTATCACTGGATCCTGGATGTGGTGGAAGGTGGAGAGCTCGAACTCGTCAAAGTGCACTCTGACCAAAATTGGACCGACATGATGACAAAGCCGGTCCCAACAAGGAAATTTGAAGACTGCTGTGAAGGAGCCGGGTTGATGCTGAAGCCAACACATTGAAGTCGGAGGGGGAGATTTGTTGGGCTTCCTCCTTCAATGCTAAGCCCAAGCCCATTGAGGGGTTTCCCAAAAACCCTAAACCTTAAACCCTAGATCTCACCTCCTCTATATATATTCATTAGTTGTGGGTGGAGGTGAGGTTAAAGAATAGATTTGAGAGAAAATTATTTGAGAGATTTGTGAGCAAAGCTTTAAGCTTTGTATTTGAGAGATCTCTAGAGAGAGTTTGAGTGAAACATCTCTAGGGTAGTTTGATTATCACCATTGTTGGAGAGGTTGTATTAACCACCACATTGATGTATTTTGATTCTCTGTATCCATTATTTTCATAGTGGACGTTTGATCTGGACTAGGTCCCGTGAATTTTTACTTCTTCAATGGAGAAGGTTTTCCCACGTTAAAACTGTTTGTGTTCTCCTTCTCACTCTCCTGTTTGCGTTTTTGATTTTTCGCAGCGCTGCCCGACCTAGTTCAGGCCGAAGTAATTGCAGAGATCCGAAATCCAAGATCTTGTTGATTGACTTCCGTGAAAAGGCTGCTTAGCCGAGTTTGAGAGAACCGAGTTCCCAACAAGTTCCTCTTGAGTGATGTTATATTTATAATCTATTTTTATCTTATAATTACTTTTATGCTTATTGAATCAAAATTAAATCAACAATTACAATATGACATTAAGTGATAGTTTTTATTTAAAATTTAAATTAGAAAAAAAAATCTCTTACTTTCTTTTTTATGATTTTTATTGTGTATCTCTTTTTCTCACTTAAAATAATACAATTTTATGTTATTTAAAGGACAAACCCTTAAAGAGAAAAAGAAGAAAAAGAAAATAATATAAGAATAATATAATTAAAAGAATACACAACTAACATGAGCATATTAACAACTATGTTGAGAAAACATACCTAAATACACACAGAACAAAAACAATGTGAAGGACAAGAAATTGAAATTCAAAAACCCGCAGGGAAACATTACTTTCTAGCCTGAAGAAGACCGACAGGGGGAGCATAGCCATGAAACTTGTGTGACTGAATTGCATCAATGACAGCTTCTTCAGCAATGTTGGTGGTGTGGAAGCATGTCGTTAAAGTTGGATCACCTATACCCAAACAAATAACTCTCTTGCCACCATCATGATTCTCATCAATACTTTCCATAAGAAGGCTAAGCATACCCTTAATGGTGATGTTGGACACTGTTTTCGATTCATTGTTCGCAGCGACACCACCACCTTCCATTTCTAGCTTGAAGTCTCTGTAACCTCTCAGGCTTAGTTTTTGGGACCTTGGTGTCTCACTATGGCATGTTAATGCTTTTTATATATAGAGCCATGAGGTTGTTCTCATTTCCTTAATTAATAGTTTGGACCATCGCACCTCTTCATTTGCGAACCATCGCACCTCTTCATATGTATGTAATGTATGCATATGTAGGTAGGTATATTTGTCATGAATTGAAATTTTATGTTTAGGCCCAGTCGCTGATGATATGTTGCGATTATGGGCCCTGCTGAAGTGCTGATAGCCCATTTGCTGGAGGGGTGTGTTTCTTGTGTCCATTCACTTCCCTCCACGTTATCCTTTTAAACCACCTTTCTCGCATCATTGAACATTGATCACTTTTTATTTTTCCCCTTTTACTTGTACCGTGAGAGTAGGGGTGTAAATGGGTTAGGCCGAACTACAGGGGCCTACGGCCTAACCTGTATTAAGTCAGACTTAACCTATTATAAATAGTAAAATAGAATAGACTTCGGTTTTTAAAAAAATCTATTTAAAAAACAGGTCATAAGTTTTTTTATATATATCAGGCCTATAAGCTTACAGGTCGGCCTATCATATAATTTATTTAAAATATAATAAATAAAATTATTATTTTAATAATTTTAAATAATAAAATAATATTATTTTAGTTATTCTTTTAATTGTTGAATATTTAATAGGCTTAAACAGCCTAATAGGCCTAGGCCAAGACTTTTATTTTTTAAATACAGTTCAGGCTAGACTTATAATTTGAGATTTATATAGGCTAATAGACCAAGCCATAGCCAATATTTTTTACACAAACCTTCACTTATTTAAAGTAAAACCTAGCCTATTTACATGGATACACGGGAGAGTTGATTAAATAGAGGAGAGAGCATTTACCTGGTTATTCGGTGACTGTTGCATTCTGATTGTAAGCGATGGAAATTCATATTGAAGCAAAGGACAACATCTTGTAGGAACAAGAATCCCCAACTGAATTAAGTTACAGAACCATTTCTTTCCTCTGTTCTGATACACTAATATTATCGTGGGGTGTTACAACATTAAGAAGGAAAAATGGGTCAAATAAGAGGGGTGGGAAAGGGAGATGGAGATTACAAAGGGAAAAGAAAATTGACGTCGCACATCACCTAAAATCATTGACATTTGTTCTCAGTTTTTATGAGTGTCAACATTCAAGATTATATATTCAAAAGTTTTGTCGACCATCACTTGTCATATGGTGGAAATTATGGACATGTATTTAGACGTGGCGAAAGGTTATTTTGTAACTTCTTTCTTTTTTTCACAAATAAAATTTAGGTGGAATTAGACGTTCTACAAGACACATTACATTAGCAAGAGAGTCTTCACATTAGTCAGAGGAATTCAAACTCACACCCTAATAACTAATTTTGTTCCATTACGAATGTGGATGGGAGTAGTTTCTAACAAAGACAGAAAAACTATATTAAAAATGAAAATTAAGTTCTTTTAGTATATTAATATTTTTAATTAAATTTAAATAAAAATACTATATATATACTTGTTATTAATAGAAATAATATATCTTTGTGTATCATCATAATAGCGGCATATATATTATTGGATAAAGTGTGTGTCATTTTAAAGGATGTAAAGTTGTGTCATTTTAAGAGAGAGAAAGAGATAGATAAAGGATGAGAGAGAGTTGACAAAAAAAATAAAGGTGTGGGTCCCACTTCTTTGTGAGAGTGAAAGGATATAAGTTGTGTCATTTAAAAGGATAAACATTTTTCCCTATATTATTTTACGTAACGGTGATTTATTCATTTTTATCACTTTTTATATACAAATCTCATTTCTTTCTTCCCATTTTCTTCCCTTTAATTTTCTTTCCTCATCCTAATGAAGGATAAATAACGATTTTAATAAATAGAACAATAATTAGGCAAAGGGTAAATTTACATGCTAAGTAAACAAGTAAAAATTGTTCTCATTCCTTGCATGAGTTTCCACAAACCAAAGGTATCTAGCAAACAATAAAAGAGAAAAATATAGAGAACCACAATTTATTGAAACCATTCCAAGATTGATTTAATACATAATATGCTAATGGAGTAGTTGAGATAAGATGACTGCTTTTGCAAAAGCAGTGTAAATGGCCGACACATGAATGCAAAGAATTATTAATAGCCATTTTATTTGTAGATTTAGTAGTCTTTTGACCATTTTCTGGCATGCCTTTGACAGAAATATTTTATCCGTTTCATACCCTCTTCAAGAGCAGATTGGTCAGCAGCAAAAATAATACGAAGCCAATCTTTTAGCCCCACTGCAGTTCCTGCAGATTAAAGATTTTTCGTTTTGTTTCTTAAAAAAATTCAACAATTTTGTGAGTCATGCTAAAACCAAAGTCAGCAGTCAATAGCAGACTCAATCATTTATCAATTGAATTTATTTTAATCTACTATGATTTAATTATATTAATTTTGCACTTATTTTCGTTTAAACAAATCATTGAAATTGTTATCTAAGGTGTTCCTATAAATGTGACTTACAATTTCATGATAAAATTGGTGATATCCAAAATGAGTCCAACAAGTGCAAAGATAAAGCCTAGTGCACAAAACTTACTCGACTTGTGAGTATAGAAGTGAAGGTAAAATTTACCCTTATATATTTCTAAACTCAAACCCATAACCTTTCACTCACAGGCATAATCTGATCGCTGCTATAATCATCACCCTTTAAAAGCAGTGAAGACTAACAAAAAAAAAAATATTCCTTGTACAAATGAAATTGGTATTAAAAAAATTGCACAAAATATCAAACTAAGGCATGATTTGGGCAATTGTACCTGGAAGAATGATAACAGATTCCTCCTTAGCAAGCTTGAAACAGAAATCAATATCATCGCTAATATCTTCCAGAAGTGAAAGGTTTAGTTTTACCTGCATTTCATTCAGGAAGATTTTGAAAAAAAATAAAAAACAATGACATCTATTCTGTTCTCAAAGAATGTCTAATTGTGGTGTATCCTCACCATCATAGCCATGGACCCTTCTGGTTTGTAAGGGCAAACAATGCATGGAATATCCTTTATCCCCTTAAAACATATATTTGAGGCATGCCTCAAATTCTCATTGATTTTCTCGAAAAAAACCTCATCAGTTTGCTTAATTATGCGAGGCACAGCTGCCTGTAAGACCAGAAGTGATTAATCAGATAGAAGAAATAAAGAAAAGATGAATTTTTGACAGCAAGAGTATTGGATGAAAACTTGGATTTGACATTAAACTAGCAGCAGCAAATGAAAACTATATCAAAATGAATATTGTATCAAGCTTTAAGTAAAACTAAGTTGCTTCCATTTCTTTGCTTGAAAAAAATAAAAAGCATGCAAAGAGAAAATTTTAAAAACCTGGATGAAGGTGGCTGGACCTCCCAAAAGATTAAAATACTTTTCAATGCGTTCAACTACCTGCACAAGCAACATATGTTTTTTAACATCACATAAGAAGGTGATTGAATATAATGAAGAACCATTTAGAATTTAGAAATGTTTATATGTTAAAAGTACTAACAGTTGAATCCAGTCAATTAGGGAACATCAATATAGAATATATAGTACAAAATAATGAAGCAAAGAAAGAAGAAATAAAGATACATAGACACAAATAAAGCAATATATACATAGATATATTGGGAACCACCTGCAAAGATACTGAAGAAAGGTTGATGTTTAGCATAAAAGTTCATAAATCACAGAGCATTTATATGATCACTCAAGGTTCTTAATTCTCAGATTGACTAATCTAATTGCAGTGTGATTATTCAAGTACCATGTGATCAATGATGTAAGTGTTAAGATATAAAAATATAAAAATATTATTCAAGGAAGTACCTTGGGTTTTCTAAAAGTGCCACATGGATCATTTGTCACAAACCAACCAAGCCTCCATCCAGGAACTATCCATCTCTTAGACAGGGCCCCGAGAGTGAGAACAGGAACAATAGAGCCAAAAACTCCCATTGGCACAAAAGGATTGGCCCCAAATGTAAGGTGACCATAAACTTCATCAGCAATCACAATTGTTCCAAGCCTTTTTGCGGTTTCTGCAATCTAAGTCCAACATACAAAAAAGTTTGTAACTCCTGTTAATGCTGTCAAGTTTTAGCTAGAAACGTATGCTATCAGCTAATTGATCATTTTTACCGCTGTTTCAAAAAAAACTTTTTTTTTTTTATCATTTTACCCCTTTCTTTCTTTTTTTTGGTAATATTGAGGGGACATTTTACCCCTTTCAAATTAAGTATCAATACGTCCCTTTTCTTAAATTATTTATCAATTTATTTTTATTTGACCAAAATTTGACCACACTTATTCAAATGAACTTTAATCAAACTTTAGTCAAGTAGAAACAATTTAATATATAATTTGAAAAAGTAATACTTTCCGTAAAAGGGTGCAAAGTTGTAAAATAAATAAATAAATAAATTAAAGGTTTAAAGTTTTTAAAATTACTTTAAATAACTTTATCTAATGTTCATCAAAATACACACAAAAAAGTATGTGGGGCCCAAAAAAAAGAAAAAAAAATATAGGTCCATATCTTTTATGTGTGTTTTTTGGTGAACATTAAATAAAATTATCCAAAGTAACTTTAGAAACTTTAAACCCATAAATTAAAATAAGGACAAAATAGTGAATCGGCTTATTGTATCTCTAAAGTTATTTGGTATGGGCCATATATCTATAACCTTTCAAAATATTTTAGATACACTCGTCGCACTACTGACTCGATGCGACAGGCCAATCAAAATGAGGCATTTTCTGCGATGTGTGTACGGAAAAGAAAAAAAAATTCAAGTGTCAATTTTTGAATGAAAGTCGTAGGTAGACTTGGTGTACTAAAAATAATCCCTCTTCCGAAATATTTTAGGTACACCGATCGCACTACTGACTTGGTGCGATGAGCCAATCAAAATGAAGCATTTTCTGTTATGTG